CTGTTCCTCAATTCTTCAGCTCAAGGCTAGCACTCTACCACTTGAGCCACAGTGCCACTTCCGGCTTTTTTCTTTTTGCTTATGTGGTGCTGAGGAATCGAACCCAGGGCCTCAGGCATGCAAGGCAAGCGCTCTACCACTGAGCCACCTTCCCAGCCTCCCCCCCCCCCCAATTTTTTTAAACCAAGTATGTAATCACATTTGGCAACTGCTCAAGAATATCCAATAATCAGCCTGGCATGGTGGTGTACTCCTAGGACTTTGGAGGCTGACGCAATAAGATTTTGAGTTCTAGATTAGCCAGTGCTAGGTAGGGTGACCTTGCCTCAAAAACAAAACAAACTAACAAAAAAACCCCTCTATTACAAAATGAATGCAAAACTAGAATTGCATCAGATGCCCAAACATCCCCATTTGAGACAATTCTGGTCTCATCCGAACATATAGTATGAGTGTCCGGCTGCCATGGGCATCCTGTACACGCCAGGGTGGCAATAGCTCTCAGGCTCCACAGGAGGGCAAGATTTAACCCTGGCTATGTTCAAATCCCAGAAGGACCAGTGTTATACAAATGCAGTCGTCTGTCTCTGTCATGGTGGCAAGGATTTTTTTTTTTTTTAAAAAAAAAGCACAATCACACTTACAGCTGAATCCTTTATAAGCCCAAACCAAGGTATATGTTTTTTTTCCCCCTCCTTTAGGGGGGTTGGAAATTCAGTTCTAAGTTGAGAAGCAAGGTGGGAAGACACCAAAGTTGCCTCTAATGAGATGGGACTGTGGGCCACACAGGAAAGACACAGTTCTTTGTCTTTCTGGAAATAGACAGACAAATAGGAGATAGCCCCAATACAAAATATAAAACTGAGTTGAACTATCAAAGTATTATAAGGCCCCTATCAAGGATGCTTGATTTTACAGGGAAGAGGTGAGGAGGATCTGCCATTGGCCCTGTGAGATTCCATGCTCAGCCCTGAGTGAGCCCTATCACCAATGCAGCCTGGTCTCACCTCTCCTGCGGTGAGTGTTGATATTATGAGATTGCTCTGGAAGCTCTCTGCAGTTTCTTCTTGCTCTGACATACTTCCACAGACAGAACCTGAAAGCTGCAATCTTTTTCATCCTACAACTCTGCTTCCTCTTTACCACTGAGCTCCCTCTCTAAGTTCTTGTCTCCTCATCAATTGTCTTCTCCTTGCAAGTCTCCCTCTGCCTCTTCTGAGGCACTGACCTCATTCTCTTTAGTTAACTGGTGACATCTTAGTGACCAAATCTCAAACTCTCCTTGTAGTTCTCTTGACCTCTGTGGAACATTCTGAGACACTTGCTAAGTATCTTTCCTTTAGTTGTAAGCTAAGGGTTTTGGCTTCTCTATTTCCTCTTGTCTCTAGAGCCACTTTCTTGCTTCAGGTCTTTGTCATCTCTTACAACTGCAATCATCTCACAGCCAGTTTCACAGGCTGGCCATCTTCCTCTTCAACTGCCATCAGCTAGAAGGACTGTTTTCCTAAATAAAAATATTTCAGCATATTTTCCAGTTATGACATTTTAATAGGCCCTACTGTCCTCAGGATTCAGAAATACATCAATACCTACATACTAATACTCATTGTCCTGGAGCCTGTTATCCAGGCTTGATTTCAAAACACTTCCAGACACACACTTCCAGATAGCTACTATGAATCAAGAAGTCACGAGGTACGAACGTAAGATGCAACCCCACTCTTTCACAAGCTGACTCCAACTTGCAATGCAACCTCATTTCCATCACCTTTGTTCCCATCCACACTGTGTTCTGGATGCTTTGGAGCTTCCCTAATGTGTAAGTTCTTTCCAGCACTTGGGCATTGTACATGCAGTACAATGTACTGTGAGAAAAACAATTATCCTACTCTATCTGGTCATGCTTATGAATTGATCCAAAGCCAGTTCCAGCATTTTGGAGGCCTTTCCTGACAAGTTCAGGCATTTTAGGACAGAACAGCTTCCTTTTCTTTTTCCTACATTATGTTCAAATTACCCATTTCTATATCTCCTCTGGACTGAGACCATGCTATGATCATCACTGCATCTTCTCTAGGGCTTTCTATATTATTTAGACCACAGTAGGTGCCAAACAAAAATGCTGACTGAATTTAAATGATAGTGCCCTTTCATTGTAATTCAAGGAAGGTTTAGAACTCCAGTGTCTGCTTACAGATGCTGTCAGGGACAATGCCAAAGGAACTCTTCTTTGACTCCCTGAGCTTAGAATTTCATTGATGAAGGACAGGTAGTAGTAATAGTAACCACACCGCTGCTAATAGCTAGCCATTATCTGTGTCTTGGCACAGAGTAAGCTTGCATGAAGACTTCAAGAAAAAGGAGCAAATCAGTCTTTAAATATGATTAGAGATAAGAACAGAATAATTCTGGTTATAATGTCACCCTTGGATTGGATTTCCAAAAATATGACAATAGTCATATTAAATACAAGGTGGTCAGAGCCAAAAGTAAGACCCTATCATCCACACAGACGTTTGGACTGGGCAGTAAATAATAACTTTTTTTCTTGATAGAAGTTTATTGTGTCTGTAATTAAGATTAACCTAAGAAAATTCTTTCCTAGCCAAATCTGCATAGCTGAAAATTCATTTAGGAAAACATGCCCCGTATAATGTCTATTACAGTAAAGGTATGAAATGTCCCTTGTAGACTCAAGCATAGAAGACTTGATACTTGATCAAGCAGCAGAAGTTAGAGGTAGGAAGACCGAGACATGATTGTGCTCTGAGAGCTCTCCCTTTATCAAGGCATTCATCTGTTGAGTTCATAGCTTAGGTGATAGGACTTCTGAGTTCACAGGACTATGGAGTCTAGTTGGAGCAAAAATGTCATTGGGAACATGACTTTGAAGGATATATTATCCCCCCTGGCCTTTGTTCCATCCCTCAACTTCCTGGCTGTCATGAAGTGTGCTGCACTGCTCACCACATGCTATTGCCATGATGTTCTGCCCAGAAACTACAAAACCAAAACCGCTAAGCCCACAGGCCCAAAGAAATCTTGCCTCTCTTTTGTAAAGGGAATTATTAACATTTCATTTAGCTAGCAACAGATGACTTAAGAATTAATTAGATGGAGCCAACAGAGAGGGATAGAAAATGACCAAATCCTGATGTTACTGTCCTTCTTGTAAATTGTTCATCTCAGGTAATTTGGCACAGTGCTAGAAAGTTGACCAATCTAGTGTCATTAATATAAATGTAGGATTTGGGGGGTGAAAATAAGCTTTAGATGATAAAATTGGGGGGGGGGGAGGCAGGGTGAGTTTCGGTTGCTTTGTGGTTCTCTTAGAGACTTGACTATGCATGCTGGTATAGTTAACATAAGAAGACTGTGATAAAACAATCTATCCCTGTAGTGTAATTCCTCATGTATACTTGACTGGAAAACTTATTCTTACAGAATTTAACCTATTTATTTCCATGAAGTTAGTATTTGGTCATGCTGTCTCAGCATTAGGAGATGCTTACCAAGACACAGTCCTTCCTAACTGAGGTTCAGCAGTAGACATATGCAAAGAGGAGTATAGAGACCTCTCTTATTTAGGAAAAGGAAGATTGATCACGCTTTAGGCCAGAATAGACTAGAAGAGTATGCTATTATTATTTGCATGACAAAATTCCAATCTTATATAAAGGCTAGGGGGAAAAAGGCCAATCTTAATCAATCCTGGAATTAGTAGTTTAGATATTATGGTCATATCACATAGTCATAGGAATTTATATTTTTGTTTTGTTCCTAAGAAAAACTTGATCATCTTTCTTTAATATTATCAACCTGGAAGCTTGACAGTAAGGATTAAAAATTGCTCCTTCCTTCCCACTTGGTTATTGGAAAGGCTCTGAAAGGTAATCAGTCTTGTGAAGCTACACTTTACAGTCTGCATAAAAATGCCATGATTTCCCTTCCTCTCCCCAACCTAATTGAAAGTGCATAATATCACCCAGCTGGGGAAATGTAAACGGTAAACATATGCAATATATCATGCTACCACGCAAACACTGGCTACTAATGGGGACTGGGTGGTTGTCAGAACCCTACGAAATCTGGAAAATGACTATTTTCTCCATTTAGAATGAGAGCTCTTTGTACTTTTCTTCCTCCCTCCTCCCTCCAGACTTCAAGCTGCAATCAGATTAGAGTAAGGTCAGTCAGCATTACACTCTGCATGTATAATTCCAAGGGTCACCTAACAATGCTTATTGACTAAAACTCTTTTAGATCACCCTTTCAAGAGAGATGGCATTCATTTTCCTTCTGGCAGGAGGTGGGGCTACAATCACCTGTTCCCTACCTGCTTCAATTGTACTGACAGATGGTCCTATTATTTTTCTCCTTAGCTGCTAAACCTAAAGATACCAGGCTTTGTCATCTCCTATGTTTCTCTACTCCATCAAACTCCTATTGCTAAGATTATCTTCTTTTCTACCTCTGGTCATCTGTGAATTTCCATAGAGTATCACATTCTCCTTGAGTAAAATAATATCAGTCTTACTGTTGAATGTCCCTTTTACTTCCACAGCTATTTATAATTTCACTTCAGTGATAACTACTTGGAAATCATCATTTTTTGCTTCTCTGATTCTTTACCTCCAATTACCATGGCGTGTTCTTGTAAAAGCCTTTTACAATAGAGCTCTTAGGAAAAAGGACAATATTCTTTCCAAGTTTTTATTATTACTTCTCTGTTACCATATTCTTGCAAAAATTGCTCCCTGTTGTACCATGAACTTAACTACTACCAATTCATTCATATCACCTTCTAATGCACTATCATTTAAATTCTGATGGTTACTATCTCACACGTAGGTCAAAGTGGAGCACTTGTTTAGGGCACCAAGTCATTTTAGTTTAAATATATCAAAGGATATACTTTTAAAAAATCTCTTTCAGCAGTGGAGACAATTTGAAATGTACTGAATTAAAACTGCATCCATCTTTCACTAAGTTACATTTACCTGTCAGCTGGAGTTGGTGGATGATATGGCTTGTTGACTTTGGCATAGAGCCCCTCTAAGTGGTCTCTCTCTGGAGACAGTGCACGGCCATCACGAGTGTAACTGAGTGGTCCAGTCCATGGGGGAGATGGAGATCTAAAGACATTTGCTGATGTGCATGGTTCGCGAAAGTGGTTCACTCTGGCATAATTGGGGTCCATTTCATCATCATCCATGTCGTGCACTGATCCAGTTGCTCCCGCAGCATAATCAACAAGAACTCTTGCTTGCTTTTCCCTCAGCTCCTGATGTTTTGCTCCAATCCTGGAAAAAAAAGTGGAAGTAGCAGAAATGCACGTGTGTTTCATAGGCTACCACAATGTAATACTCTCATGAATGTGCTAACTCTTGCTAGACACTTAGCTGTCACTTTTCTGTTGACTCAAGACCACACCATGCACAAATGTCAGCAGCATAAGAAGATTAATTTTATATCTCTGACCTTTATTTGTCACAGGATCTTTGCTTTGATAGCAATGCTGTAGGTATTTTGACACGTTGCTCACTGATGACTGAGCTGATATCAGTCTATCCCGATAAATGAGAAGTATTTATAGAACCAGTGCATGTCTGGTATAACACTATGGAAGCCTTTCTTAGGGCTGAACGTTAAAGAGCTCATCAGAATCTTAATCTTTTGATTTTTAAAAAAAATCTTTAAGTAGTTGTACAAAGGATTTGCATTTAACAAAGCAGTTTATGAATACAATATATCTTGACAGAGTCTTACATTTTTTGTCATGACTTTCTATTTAATGTCCTAGAGTTCTAGTGTATTCTTCTAAAGAAAGGAGCTTGCAAAATTGATTTAAATATGAAAAAGAAATACAGAAACTGTCAGGCCACTAAAAGCAGTGGCATCAAGGGTAATTTATAAGAGACTCTGAGTTTTTTGGTTACACAAATGGGGATCATTGTGTCTCATTATATAGGGGCTAGGGACAGAGTAAAATAATGAAGAAATTAATAGGCTTCAGACGGAGATGAATTGGTGCATATAAGTGAATTAAACACCATTACTGGCAGAACTCCACAGTGCTAAAGCCTTAAGTGATATTACAAAATGCTACTGCTAATCAGTGCCACTGAGTAAACTGCTCGGGATGGAACAGAAAAACATTTGACATTGAATCTGGAAAGTGTTAGATCTGTTCTTTTCAATTCCCAGTCATGTGATAGAATGGCAAGTATGGCATCTTACTGGATGATGATGATGTGGATGGTGTTAGAAGCCATTTGGCACTAATTAGGAAGGGGTCTAATCTCTGTCCCGGGGAAAATGAAGCACAGGGTATATGGGATAAAAAAGCTGGTGCTGGCTCATGTGGTTAAAAGAAAGATAGGCAAGAAAAAACAGGGATGAAGCTGAAGTCCTGGACTCAGAGAAGATGAGAGGCTCAGAGAAGATCTATGTATGCCCGGAGACACCCAGGGAAGGCCTGAATGAGTTACAAGACAAAAACTAAAACTCCTTAGCATCTTCTTCTCCTCTTCAAACAAAAACAGTTGTTCTTGTACATGGCAGATAGTTTCACTTTACAAAACATCAGACTGTGTGACAAAACCTTTAGAAGCCATGATCTTTCAAAGTAGTTTTTTTCTTCTTTGACAGGACAGTGTTTTATTTGTTTATTTATTTGAGTAGGAAGGAGGAGAAATCAGGTAGGGGAGAGAAAAAGCAATGAAACAAAACAGAATATGAAGGGCATGGGATTAAAAAGACAGTATCTATCCTTAAGTCACAGCAGATGAAAATCAGTGCCAGTATGTATCCATTACACGTCTTTTGACTAGGCCAAACCATGTACTCTATACCAAAGTAATTAGAAGAATTTATATTTTTGTATAAAGCAGCATGCACCTCCAAGGGATTCTGAATTAAGTGGAAAGAAGATTGCACAGTAGGGCACCCATTAAGAGGCCTTGTCTGTCCACTTTTGATGTATACCAATCCCAAATTCATGATGTTTGCTTTGAATAATTTCTGGTGAAGAAGATAATAACCTGCTCTATTCTGCAACCAAACAATCTTTGCAGGGATGGTACAGACTTGATTACTAGAGAATGCTTGCTGCACTAAGATGGTAGGATGGATTATTTCCATTGCAAATAGAGCCAAGGACATCAATAAAGTTAGGAGGTGGGATTATGTGTGGCCCTCATAAGTGGGATGCCTTCAAGAGGGATCAGTCAGCAGTAAGATAAATATTGTATGGCTGCCGCATGGGGCTGTCCTTGTGCATTAATGGAAAAGAGACATTCAAAACTTGAGTTTCTGAAATCATAGCCATAGAATAGGGGGATTGGTGTTCCTTATTTCCTCCTTTCTCCTACTCAGAGTTTTTCTCATTAATTAAGCTTGCTGAGTGTGTTAGATAATTGCAGATGAAAACTATACGGTCTATGCAAAGCAATGTTTTATCTTGTATTTTTCCTTTCTAAAACAAAACCACCTTCTTCCTCGATCCTCTCTGCACCATTGACTGCTGCAGTAACTAATTTCATATTAATCACTCAGTAGGTGAAATAGTAATTTCTCTGAACCATCATTATTATGCCATATATCAGGGTCTCTCCATGTGGGGGAGGACAAGACAATCTCTGAAAAAGGGGTATGTGCAGGCAGAGAAAACTCTCAAGAGAGTGCCAAAGGAAAAGATTTTATTTTTGTAGCTCTGACTGCCCCCACTCACAAATCAGTGTGAGAATTCTAATTGTTTCTAGTCCTTTCTAGTTGGAGGTCTCTTTATCACTGGGAACTCAGCCTGTTAAAATATCTGTCCTTTCAAAACACCCCTTGATAAAATGCCCTTTTTCATTTCATGGCACAACTGGGTCCCCCATTTTTCTGAGCACTTTATCTTTGAATTATTTAAATCTTCCCCCTTCTCTCTTTTTTTCTCCCTTTGAACACATTGTTGTTTGTTTTTTCCTTAACACCATTGTACTCTTTTACTTCTATTTTGTTGGCCACAGTCTAGTGTTCAGGCTTTTTATATTGTCTAGATGTGCACTGTTCAATAAGGTGACTGTTGGCTATTTGTAACTCTGTACGTTTAAATTGGAATCAAGTAAAACTTTCACTGTATCAGTTTCACTAAGCATACCGCAAGTACTCAATGGAGGTATGTTCAGTGACCAGTGAACTGGACACTGCAGATATAGATGAATTCCTTCACAGCAGAAAGTTCTATTGACTGTGTTAGTCTAGATTGCTCTAAGAGTTTTGGTATATCTCTTCATCCTAATTTAATCTATACTATGAGAATAGTATAGAATAATCCTCTTTAAAGAATATTTCCCTCTCTAATGATAAAAGTATACTAACTCAGTTTCCCTCTCTGAAATACTATGTGAAAACTGAGGAAACTATAAAGAAAATTCATTTCAATGGAATTAGAAAATGGCCACAATGATATTAGACTTAACCCAAAAGGGGGAGTATGCCAAGAGCTGATAGATGTTTATATCTCTAGACAGGAATATATTTTTCTAAAGTAAGGGAGCAGAGTCTTAAGGAACACAGATGGCAGATTGTACTTAGACAGAGAAAATCTAGGGCCCTGGAGTATCTAAAATCAAGGGTTCATGAGGATTGGAATGAAGGAGTGGCAGGGCTAGAAGAAATGTATTATGCTGTCTGAACAGTCCCTGTCCTGGGGACACATGTTAAGTAAAATGGGAAGAAAGAAGTAGTAACCTCTGTTGTTTCTGAAAGGCAGAAGAGCAGAGATAAACTGGAATTTGTCAAAAGAGAACCAATTATCTAGGAGCAGGCTGCCTTCTTAACAGAATAAACTGCTTCCCTAAACAGAGACCAGAGAACTTGAACTCCCAAACTTGCTAGGAAAATGATTTTGAGAAAATATATCAAACTGAAACTAGTGATGAACTTAGATCACTATGTACATATCATCTAATAGTGTATTTTGGCATGTTCCTTTATTTAAATTTCAAATACTGCAGGATGTAAACGTCAATTTAATGGTGAACCAAACATTTCAAAATTAAATGTAATGAAAGAAAATAAGAGTTTATTTAGATAATAAATATAAATATTATTTTAAAAAGTAGAAAAGAAGTCATCTGAAATTCAAGCAAATTCATACTGACTTCAAACATGGATAAAGACAAAAGAAACCTCATTGTGAAAAACTAATAAGAAAAACCAACCAATCCACAATTGAGTCAAAATGAACAATTCAATCTGGTTGTTCTGGCTGCAACTCCTTTTTTCCCCAAATTTATGTGTTGAAGCTAATCCAGCTTTGGGAAGTGATCCTGTACTTTCCACCTGAAACTGCTGATCTTTACAAATTGTCCATTTTTAAGTATCATAGCAAAAAATCAAATTCAGATACTTTAGCTTTAGAATTATGTCTCTGGTAGTGTGCAATACATTTATGTACATACAAATATAAGGCTACATATTTGCAAGAACCATAGTTATTAAAATGTAAATATTGTACACTATTCAGATATGAATAATATCACTAATGATAATAAGAAGTCAATAAGGAGATGTACTGCCAAACATCTCTTTTGCCTTCCAACCTGAATTTTCACAACTCCATTGTCAACTTGTTATCAGTTCATTGTACATTGAACTTGTACTTGGTACTTTCAGATAAAATGATCTTACAAAGACTTCATTAGTCAGGCTCTCAACTCTCAATTTTCTTTAGCATAAGGACTAGACTGGTTAAAAACCACATTAACTTTGACAATTTGTCTCCTCTTCAACTTATACATCTAGTAAATTCTCTATTAATTTGAAATATTATATAGTTAATTCCCTACTCACCTGAAATATTATAGAGTTATGCAGTTCTCAATCCATGAATTTATTTTGTTTGAATTTCCGTATCTCTGTTCTATTTTATAGTAAAAGTTTAACAAATGAAAAAGGTAACAATGGAATTTGCCTCATACCAGATTTTGAGTATTGGCATATTTGTATTACATGAACCTTATAAAATTTTGATTATTATATTTGATTATTAATTTGATTATATGATTATTATATTATAGATCAACAGTACTTCTAGAATATGCAGTTACCTTTTTGCAGACTCCCCAGGAAGAAAACATGGGGATAGTCCATCCCAAGTAGATAAAAACATGCCTCTTATATTTGAAAACTGGTTTTCCTAGATACAAAATTATTGTTTCATTTTTATGTTCTTGAGAATTTTAAATATGTGTATAGTGTCCTTGCTGAAAAGGTGAATGAAAATCTTAAATTTATATCCCTTACAAGTTAC